TTTGGCTGGATATGAAATTCTGGGTTGAAAATTCTTTTCTTTAAGAATGTTGAATATTGGCCCCCACTCTCTTCTGGCTTGTAGAGCTTCTGCCAAGAGATCCGCTGTTAGTCTGATGGGCTTCCCTTTTTGGGTAACCTGGCCCTTCTCTCTGGCTGCCCTTAACATTTCTTCCTTCATTTCAACTTTGGTGAATCTGACAATTATGTGTCTTGGAGTTGCTCTTCTCGAGGAGCATCTTTGTGGAGTTCTCTGTATTTCCTGAATTTGAACATTGGCCTGCCTTGCTAGGTGGGGAAGTTCTCCTGGATAATATCCCGCAGAGTGTTTTCCAACTTGGTTCCATTCTCCCCATCACTTTCAGGTACACCAATCAGATGTAGATTTGGTCTTTTCACATAGTGCCATATTTCTTGGAGGCTTTGTTCATTTCTTTTTACTCTTTTTTCCTCTAAACTTCGCTTCTCACTTCATTTCATGCATTTGATCTTCAATCACTGATACCCTTTCATCCAGTTGGTTGAGTCAGTTACTGAAGCTTGTGCATTTGTCATGTAGTTCCTGTGTCATGGTTTTCATCTCTATCAGGTTGTTTAAGGACTTCTCTACATTGGTTATTCTAGTTAGCCATTCACCAAATCTTTTTTCAAGGTTTTTAGCTTCTTTGTGCTGGGTTTGTACTTCCTCCTTTAGCTCAGAGAAGTTTGATTGTCTGAAGCCTTCTTCTCTCAATTTGTCAAAGTCATTCTCCATCCAGCTTTGTTCCATTGCTGGCGAGGAGCTGCGTTCCTTTGGAGGGGGAGAGGTGCTCTGATTTTTAGAATTTTCAGCTTTTCTGTGCTGCTTTTTCCCCATCTTTGTGGTTTTATCTACCTTTGGTCTTTGATGATGGTGACATACAGATGGGGTTTTGGTGTGGATATCCTTTCTGTTTGTTAGTTTTCCTTCTAACAGTAAGGACCCTCAGCTGTAGGTCAGTTGGAGTTTGCTCGAGGTCCACTGCAGACCCTGTTTGCCTGCGTATCAGCAGCGGAGGCTGCAGAAGAGTGAATACTGCTAAACAGCAAATGTTGCTGCCTGATCGTTCCTCTGGAAGCTTCGTCTCAGAGGTGTACTCGGCTGTGTGAGGTGTGAGGTGTCAGTCTGCTCCTAGTGGGGGATGTCTCCCAGTTAGGGGATACTTGGGGATCAGGAACTCACTTGAGCAGGTAGTCTGTCAGTTCTCAGACCTCAAACTCTGTGCTGGGAGAATCACTACTCTCTCCAAAGCTGTCAGACAGGGACATTTACATCTGCAGAGGTTTCTGCTGCCTTTTGTTTGGCTATGCCCTGTCCCCAGAGGTGGAGTCTACAGAGGCAGGCAGGCCTCCTTGAGCTGCAGTGGGCTCCACCCAGTTCGAGCTTCCTGGCTGCTTTGTCTACCTACTTAAGATTCAGCAACAGTGGGTGCCCCTCCCCTAGCCTCCCTGACGCCTTGTAGTTCGATCTCAGACTGCTGTGCTAGCAATGAGGGAGGCTCCATGGGCATGGGACCCTCTGAGCCAAGCGCGGGATATAATCTCCTGGTGTGCCATTTGCTAAGACCCTTGGTAAAGCGCAGTATTAGAGTGGGAGTGACCCAATTTTCCAGGTGTTGTGTGTCACGGTTTCCCTTGGCTAGGAAAGGGAATTCTCTGACCCCTCGCACTTCCCGGGTGAGGCGATGCCTCATCCTGCTTCGGCTCTCACTCACTGGGCTGTACCCACTGTCCGACATGCCCCAGTGAGGTGAACCCGGTACCTCAGCTGGAAATGCAGAAATCATCCGTCTTCTGTGTCACTCATGCTGGGATCTGGAGGCTGGAGCTGTTCCTATTCGGCCATCTTGGAACCGCCTCATAAATGCTGTTTTTAATTTTTGTGGCGGAGTTATGGTCAATAGCTCATCCCATCATTTGATATATGTCATGTAATCAGAAAGCCCTTTTCTTCTGGGTGCTTCTATGTCTACAAAAGTACACATTTCTATCTATACTATTTTAGTCAAAAACTGATTTATATTATTAATAAGCTATGTTACTGTCTACTAGATTACTGGCAATCATTAGAATCACCAGGAGAGCTTTGTGAAAAAAAATCCTGATTATCCTCATTCCTAATCACTATCTTTTTTTTTTTGAGACGGAGTCTCACTCTGTCGCCGAGGCTGGAGTGCAGTGGCACGATCTCGGCTCACTGCAAGCTCTGCCTCCTGGGTTCACGCCATTCTCCTGACTCAGTCTCCCAAGTAGCTGGGACTATAGGCTCCTGCCCCCATGCCCAGCTAATTTTTTGTATTTTTAGTGGAGATGGGGTTTCACTGTGTTAGTCAGGATGGTCTCCATCTCCTCAGCTCGTGATCCAACCACCTCGGCCTCCCAAAGTGCTGGGATTACAGGCATGAATCACCATGCTCAGCCACTAATCACTGTCTCTTACCCACCAAGATTTTGATTTAGTAGGTCTTGGGAGGCACTTAGGATTTGTTTCTTTGTTTTACATTAATTCTGACGTGCAGCCAGGTTTGAAAACAGTTATAACTGATAGAAGTAAGAAGGTAGATAGTTCTGGGTATGCATCAGAATCAACTGAAGTACTTTTTAAGACATAAATTGCTGGGCCTTATCTCTACAGGTTCTGATACAGGTAGATTTGGAGGAAGTGCTAGGAATTTGCATTTCTAACATGTTTCCAATTGATAGTGATGCTACTGGTATAGGGACCACATTCTGAACATCACTAAACAGAGAACTAAAGGAGACTAGTGTTAGGCCTCAAGAAAGAAGTCTAAATAATGTATGTTGCAAGAGGGAGTACAGTAGCCTTTTCTGATTATTGCTGAATACATTATCTAGAGTGGAATCTCAGATGTTCCCATCTGAGGACATCTAGGGCTTTGAGCAAGAGGTTTCTTCTCCTAGCAGAAAGTTTATTTCTCTAAGTTTCCTGGTACATTTCCATGATGTTGTAATCACTGACTTGGGTTGAAGGTAGTTGTAACAGGGAGTTTCCACAAACTAAAGTCTTTACTCCTTTCTTTTCTTTTGTCACAGAAGCATATACACACACATACACACACATATTTGCAGAATATGAAGAAGCAAGTCTAGGAAAAACCTAGATGATACCTGTAGAAAGACCATTTTAGCAGAAATTGCCTGGCGGCTTTAGGAAAACTGGGTCTTCCTTCATAGGGTTTCAGTGCTTGCATCATCACATTGTCAAGCCACGCAGCCCACTGCTCCAGGGTGCTCTGCTGCTGAAGAGTCATCTTGAAATCTGTTTCTAGTCTCTGAACCATGTTGTCATCACACTGGCACACCCAGGAAGCCTGCTCCTGAGACAGTAACACAGAAAGCAAAGGAAAAGTTCAACTCAGCATCCTTTCATTGAACATCAGCACACATACCAGATGCAAGAACAGAGCTTCACACAGTTAAATGAATCCAGAAAATAAAAAACTACTTGTCAATTGTTAGGGTAACACAATCTTTATCAGTTTTAAAGGATGAATATTTCTCGTTGCTCACTCTGGTACATAAAAAAGTGATGTCACATGTAAGTATGATTTGGTTTTTCTACATTAACTAGTCTGTGTAAAAGACTAAAATACATGATTACTTCAAAAAACAGAAGTCTGAACCTACAGTAGGCAGGGTCTTTCATTCTATTCAGCTTTCACACTGCTTTCAGAAGTTCTCTTTTTGTTCCCCATCAGATAAAACTTTAAAACCAATTCATTTGAGAAGATTTAGGGTAAATCAGACAGATAAATAGATACAATCGGCCAAAAGTGGTCCCCTCAAGATTAAAACAGAAACAAACACTGAATGGTACTAGGTAGAAGCATATGCTGTTATGAGTTCTATGGATTGGGAACAGAAATCTCAAGGGCTATCAAGGCAAGGCTATGAATGCAAATTAATTCAGAGAACTGAAAACAACAATAACAACAACAACAAAAAATCTTTTGAGAAAATGTAGACATGCTTCCTGCCAAAAAATGTGATTATTGCAATTTTCCTTCTGGTTCTGGTTGGGAAATGTTTGGTAACAGCAATGAAAATAGCAAATTTTAAAGCTACTTTTCAGTGGTTGCCATAAGTATTGTGATGTCTCCAGTGCTATGTTGTATTTTAAGATTTAAAAAAACCTATTCATTCAAGGCAAAACATAATTCTTTGGTAATGTAATATTTGATGGGGAATGAGAAGACATAGGCTTTAGGGTCTGAATTAACAAAACTAACCTCAAGCAATTAATTTAGGTGGGCCTCAGTTTCCCTAAGCATAAAATTAAACAAATGAAATTTAATGAAAAATTTTAAGCTGGGTTCGTTGTGTCCAGATAATTTTGTCAAGACAGATTTCTTTGGAGAAGTGTCTATGAGGCTCCCAATAAAACCCTGTGAATATATACGTATTTTTCTCAAAAGGGTGTCTATAGTTTTTTTTTTCTATATGCTCTCAAAAAACAAATTCATTCAAATTGACAACTTCAACGGAATAAATCCATTATCTCCTTCTTCCAGTTCCAGGATCTCTCCTGATCCTACAGACTTTACCTATTCAAGGGACATTTCAACCTGGAGGCACTTCAAATGCAAAATGCCCCAAACTTAACTTATTTTAAATTCTCAGGGAAACCTACTGTTTCTTCTGTATCTCAGCTGATGATATTATTCACTGTCTTTTTTCTCTTAACTAATTAATCATAAATCCATTCAGATGTTACCTTCTGAATACCACTTTTAAATATTTTAAGTATACTAAAATATAATTATAGAAAAAACTGTAAATACAAACAAGCTAAAAAGGAACAAAACATTAAGAATACTTAAAATGGCAACAGTAAGAAATTATAGCATGTCATGTTGATGTATGTACCTTTCAAACTTTTCTCTGCATATATAAATATATATATTTATGCATATATTATAATACACACATACACTATATTATTTATGCATACATTTATATTTTAAATATATATTTGTATTATGAAACACTCATATTTATACATACATTTTATATTATTATATGCTTATACATACTTAAATGTTTAAAATAAAAGAGGATCATATTATATTTTCTATTAGATATTCTGATTAGTTTCACTTAGAAATATATAGTAACCATCTTTCCATGTAGGCAAATTAGACCTATATTTATTGTCCACTGAATGAATTTGTTTTATTGCATAATGTACTATTATTTATATAACCAATCCCACATAGTTAGACATTTGTTTGATTTGTTTGTTCCAATATTTTAGTATTACAAATAAAGCTGAAATTAGCAGGATAGGTTTTTTTGTTTGTTTGCACATTGATAACTGGAAGGAGAAACTTACTAGTATCCATGAAGCAATTTAATTTCATATCTTACCATAAATTCAAACTCACTATTTACTTGGCAGTTAGTTTTTGCCAAGAAAAGATGATAATCTAAAACCTAACTTAGAGAAATAAACCACAGCACATTATTCTGACCTTCAAACTAATTTATATTATACTTCATTTTACTACTCTCTTCAGTGAAAATATACTAACAATAGAGCACATTGTAAATATTTCCCTGTGAAACGAATGTAGATATTTCAAGTCTATAATTGAAAAAGCTAAGGACATTTACAGATGTTCTTAACTTAGAAAAAAATATATATCCAAAATGAAAAGTAGTCAGGAGCTTCAAAATCAGAATGCTTTTAAATACAGAAACATAAGTATATGCAATAGCTAAGTTATCAAGTCAGCCCACCCAAACCTATTTAGCCCATAATGTGGACTTCAAAAACCACCCATTTACACAAAAAAATTAGAGAATGATGCCATTGTAATACTATCAATTAAACAGGAAACCAACTGTACTGCAATAGAAAAATTATCTTAAATGCATAAAGAAAAGAAATTTTAATTAGAGAAGAATAGAGCAGTAAAAAGTGATATATGGATATCCTGAAAGGAACTTTTTAGCACTTTCAAGCTCTTAGTGTATTATAATATTGACACACATGTAATTTCATTGTTTTAAATAGAAGTCTCCTTACTACAAGAGCATCATTCTTATATTGTCAGATTATTGAGGTTCATGTTACAGGAGTTGGGACAACTTCCAAATGAACTGGAGATGGGGATAAAGGTGAAAAGGGAGGAAAGGGACTCTGGGAAAATCTGGCAAAACTAGGAAAAGAAAAGGAAAGAAATAAGGGTGTTAAAGACGAAAAGTGCTATCTTGAGAAAGAGATTACTCATTAAAATGTACAGAGCTGTGAAAAGTAAAATGTAGGGGGAAATGAAGGACTCACTACAGTGTCATGGTACTCTGAAAAAAGGAAGAAGGTTTTGGAGGGCAGATGCTGAATCATACGGGTTTCAGCAGTAATGACTATCATGGTGGACCCAGAAAAACATGATAGTCAAAAATAGAGGAAAAGAAAGGGTATTCTCAAAGTTGGCAGGTAGAGGATAAGTAGTACAGTAGACATATCACTGATCATTAATATGCAAAGATGTTCTCAAAGTTAATGCTTATAACCAGAGAAGAACTCATTTGTAGAAATACTTCATTGGAATGCAGATACACAAATACATTTATGTATTTATACATATAATAATACTAACAGAACACTGAAAAACTTTCTCAGATATTATTAGAAATAATTCTTTAAAATGTTTTCTGTTATTGAGTTTAAATTACTTTCTGAAACTAGAAGCTGCCTTCTTCAACTTTTCTTAAGACACTTTTAAACTTTTCTGAAAAAAGATTTGAAATAAATATTACAGTAAATTTTAAGGCAATATAAACTGTTAATATTTTTGCATATTTAGTTAATATATCCTACTGAAATATGTAAAGTAAATGGTTTTGTAAAGCTGAGAAAGTTTGTTCTTGTAAAGATTATGTACTTGTATGTGTGTATGTGTTTTTGTAGATGGATAGATATTTTTTAAAACTTCATATATATAGTTTTACATTAGATACAAATAATATAAAATATTAGATATCGATATCTCTCTCTATATATATCTCAGAAGTTTGAACCCAGTCCATGAAAATCACAATGAACAACTAATTTATTGTACTCTAAAATGGATCAAGCCCAAATGTTACTTTTTGGTATATTTTAAATGACAAAACTAGGCAAGAAGTAGAAATTAAAATTTCTAGAAAATAAAATAATTAACAATTAGCTTATTTTTAAAACAACAATATTGTTTTTTAACAGCTTTACTGAAATGTAATTCACACATTATACAGTTCATTCATCTAAAGAATACTATTCAAAGGTTTCTTCTAGTATATTCGCGAAGTTGTACATCACTCACCACAATCAATTTTAGACCTTTTTCATTTTTCTAAAAATAAACCCCATGACTCTTATTTGTTACCTCCCAGTCTTCTCAATCCCCCAGCCCTAAGTAACCACCAATCTATCTTCTGTCTGTATAGATTTATCTATTCTGGAATTTCATATGAATGGAATCACGGAACATGTGATCCTTTGCACCTGGCTTCTTTCACTTAGCATAATGTTTCCAAGGTTCGTCTATGTTGCAGAATGAATCAGAACTTCATTTCTTTTTATTGCCCAATAATATTCCATTGAATGGATAGATCACATTTTGTTTATCTATTAAATCAGTTGACGAACATTTGGGTTGTTTCTGCTTTTATGTGGCTGATATAAATAGTGCTGCTATGTACCTCTATGTATAAGTTTTGTGTGGACATGATTTCATTTCTCCTGGGTATACAACAAGGAGTGGAATTGCTGAGTCATATGGTAACTCTACGTTTATCTTTTTGATAAACTGCCACACTGTTTCCCAAAGTGGCTACAGCATTTTATATTCTGACCAGCAGTGTATGAGGTTCCAATTGTTTACATCCTCACCAATAGGATATGTTATTACATGTCTTTTTGCTTAGACCCATTTTAGAGTAAATGAAATGGTACCTCGCTGTGGTTTTGACTTGTATTTCCCTTGTGGCTAACGAGATTGAGCATCTTTTAATGTGATTCTTGGCCATTTGTCTGTTTTCTTTGGGGAAATGTCTACTCAGATGTTTGTCCATATTTAATCAGGCTGTCTTTTATTACTGGGTTGTAATGGTTCTTTACATATTCTATAAACAAATCCTTTATCACATATATGATTTGCAAAAATCTTCTCACATTCTGTGGGTTGTCATTTCGTGTTCTCGATGGTCTCTTTTGAAACCCCAAAGTTTTAAATGTTGATTACGTACAATTTATGTATTTTTCCTTTTGTTGCTTATGCTTTTGGTAGACAATGATATTGTTTTTATAGGGTAACATTTAGATTCATTAGTTTAGAACCAGAAATAAAGCAGTGATTGATATTGAAATTCTATAATACTGTTTCTAACTCAGCTTTTAAAGTGTACTTTAAAGTACAAGTGGGTAATGTGATCACAAGGTTAAACAATATTTTTCATTTGAACTATCACAAGAGCCGAACTTATTGCCTATAATTCTTTTTAAGTGAATAAGTATTTACTAGGCAGCTATAGTAAACTCTGAAATAGAATTGTTCTTAGTTCTTTCAAGGAGGGGCACTAAAATAGAAGTATCTATGCATGTCATGGTACAAATTATTAAATATATAAACAATAATCTAAGATAGGTGTTATAAGGTGGGGAAAATGAAGCCTACAGTAGTTAAGTAACTTGCCCAAGATCTCACAGCTAGTATATGAAAGAGTTTAACTTCTTGCCTGTCTTACTTCAATGACTGTGACCTTTATTACTCTACTAACTATTCAGCAAACACTGGTGATATGTTGTCTTTTAGGACTGTAAATGTGAGCTTACTTTAACCACAAACATGGGAGCGGTATAGCTGTATCTGGATCAAACTTCTCTCTTTCAGGACACTGTGAATATAGATGCTGCCGGTATATAGATGAGACTTTGAAAAGAAATTTGATGATCCTAATTAAGAAGAACAAACTGGGTATCTTGCCTTAAGAGACATACTTTGCAAGGAAATAGAGTACCTGGACATTGGCAAAGTCGACACGGTTGAGGTCATTAAGCATCTGGTTGATTTGGGAAGTGTTCTGAAGCACTGCGCGAGCTGCCTGGGCCAGGTGATTGAGCGACGTGTATCTTCGCAGAGTCTGGGCAAAGGCACTTACAGCGGCAACCTGTAAAGCAATCCAATTAAGTTGGGATTCTGTTTTCTCCAGTAAAACAAATCACTGCAATCTTCAAATCTTTTTTCCCTTGCCAAATTTTAAATGCTTGCCTCTGATACTTATTTAAAATTCATTTGGTGAGAGAGTTTACTTGTAAATTATAGCATTTAAATCTCTAAACCAAGTATTATTTTCCTTTTGAGTAGGTTGAGGTCAAGACTAAAACAAACTCCCACATTCTTTGACATCTGAGTGTAGCATTAATTAAATCAGTCTTGCAAGTAACTTATTATCCACGGTAAGCAGGAAAAATGTTGGTTTTCATTTCTTTTTTTACTGCTCTTTGGACAGTCAAGTACAAAGTAGGCAAATTTTAAAAGTAGGGATGTGCAGTTTGGCTTTTCAAATAAAAAGAGATCTGGACATTCCTACTCTAAATTGACTTTAAAAATGCATGTCAGAGCATTATCATTCAGATTTATTCTTGCTACCTTTATTTTATAGAAACGAGTAATTTTGAGGTGAAATTACCAGAGGCAAACAACCAGAATAACCCTTTTTCAGAATTACAGTTTCTTTAAAACGGCCATGCAGGAAGTTTCTATTTGTCTCTCAAAATCTACTTTCCATTTTTCTTCATCTTGAAGATTGATCTGAATGGACCACATTAACCTCCCTCCTTGTTCTCTGGCTTCCACTTGGGTTTGACCAATGACAGGCACTATCAGGAGACGGAAGGATGGGAAGAAAGAGTGGTTACCATGGTACCTATTCACTACAACCTCTGCTTGCTGCCTGTTAAGAGTGGAGCCTGCTTTCCTTTTCTAATGTTACCACAGTCCTGAGGGAAAGAGTGGATTTCCTAATGCCATAGCTTTTACCTCTCACCCCTTCATTCCTAGGGATGGTTAGGATTCTCACTATTGCTAGCCCTGGGATGCTTTACTATTCCTCCTTGGTTTTATCAACTTTGTTCATACCTTTGGAAATAAGCTCTTCTTAAACTCTCTTAGATTATCCCCACCTTTGGGTGCATGATTTGTTTCCTGTTCACACCCTGAATAAAGCAGTTTTTTTGAAAGATAGCAAAGATAATGCAAAAAGTCTACATAAAGTCTACATTATCTCATGGAAATTTGTTATGTGCACAATACAGATCTAATAATTTTAATCTTTTAAAAATATATTTAAAAAATGGACAATTTACAGGAATGTATAATATTGCACTCAATCACTTATATGGGTATATAAGGTGTGAGTAGTTGAATGATCATTTGGGAGTGGTAGACGGTGTTCACAGGGAACAGGATGCTCTATCCTGACAGTGAGATGTTTGAGGACTATTTGGAACTTGGGGAGAAGCTCACACATCCTCAAAAAAGAATCTTATTCCATTTTTGTGGTTTAAATTAATCCAGTATATACTATGTGCCAGGCTCTGGATTAAGTGCCTTACATATATTATCCTATTCAAATCTCTTAACTATCTTATTAGACACATATGATTTAAAGAAGATAAGTAGCTTGCTCAAGGTTGCAAAGAAACTCCATTAGTGATGGGAATTGACCTGGGCATTTTGATTCCAAAAGCCACAGAAGTTGGAATGCTGTTTTCTCTGTCAGGGTAAATTATCTCTATTAATTGAATGCGGAGAGGAAAAGAGACTGCATATCAGTGAAACCAGAAGAACAGACGGCACCCTCTACTGTGGTGAATCATTCTGGTGAATCATTCAAGCAAACTCTGGAGGTCAATGAGACGGCCAATGTTGCAACTGGATTGTTACCACATTCACTTTGACAACACTGGGAAGGGAAGAGCTTTTAGCTGTTTGAGGCATTGTTATAAATGTGACCGAAAGTTGAAAGGATTCCTCGATCATAATCAAAGACCACCTCCTTTTTTGCACACCTCAATGTGGTACTTTACAACAGCACTGCCAAAGAGAAGAACTATCTGCAATGATGGACATGCTCTACATATATGCTGCCTAACATGGGTAGCCAGCAGCCAGAGGAGGCTACTGAGCACTCGAAATGTAACAAGTGTGACTGAGGAGCTAAATTTTTCATTTCACTTAATTTAAAATTCTAATTTAAATAGCCACATGAGGCTGGCCCTACTTGATAGCTACGTGTGGCTGGCCCTACTGTGACAGCACAGCTCTAGAGGAACAATCTAATATGGGCATATCAGTGAAATGTTGCCTTCTATATATGTTTTAGAGAGAGAAAGTTTTACTGCAAACGTTAAGCCCAAGTGAACGAACTGGAGGCTACTTATGTTCCCACAGAGGTTTATCAGCTAAAATAACTTCAATTGACCAACTCTGCCCCCAGATTCAAAGGCAAAGTATATTGCTGGAGTCTGACAGTAAATACAGTCATTGACAAGAAGCCACAAATGTGATTTCTGGTACCAAAATTTAAATAAAATTTAGGATTAGTCCAATCTTGCTATGGGGATATGTTCACAGATTAACTGAAAGTAACATGGCTAGTAGGAGACAAAGTAGAGACTAAAATTTATATCTCTAGCTAAATAATCCACATTCCTGAGATATATTGATTAATTATGACTTAATTGTTCACTTGATTCACAAAAGCATCCTCCAGGGTTTAGAAAAACACCAAAACATCCTGAAAAAGCAAAACAATATTAATTTATATGAACTTTTCAGGATATGATAGGTACAGTAAGAAATTTTAGAAATAGAAAATTCCTTCAAATGAAAACTATTTGAATATTCTAGGCTATTATTTTAATATCTGAAATTAAACACATAGTTTATATCTTTCTTATATATATAATTTAGAATATATATACCTAATATATTGTTTAGAAAGGGCTTGTAAATGCACCACGCTTGAAATGCTTCCCTATTCTCTTTGAAAGGAACATTGCCAAACATCTCTTGTGCAAGTTCTTTATTACATGGTTATAAAATACAAATATAAAAATCAGTTTTAACAGATGATGTATATTATAACCTTAACATTTTACATAATACCGTTTGATAGGATAGATGTAAAGTTCACAGTTCAGAATAATTTCCTAAACACAAAAGAAAAAGCAAGGACATAAAGTATACCTTGGTTTGTATCATTCTCTGTGGAATGTTGTTCATGGCATTGGAAAGCCAACCTTCAAGGCTTTTTGCAAAATTTCGAATGGCTTGGGTCAAGGCACCTAAACATTAAAGAATAAAAGCAGAATAAAAAAGGTATGAAAGAATATTAATATTTGTGCTAGAATAAAAGAAAATGCTCGTACACAATATCTGATATAGCACAGAACTCATATTGTCCTCATTGATAAAACTTTATTTAACATTATTCCTAATTTTTAAAGCATCCAAGAATTATATTTTGGGCTTTTTCTTTTAAAGTTATTTTGTTCCCGGATACTTGTGACACTTTTTTGGGAAAGAAAGGATTCAAACATTTTTGCTTACAGCAACATATACCAGTTGTGAATATACTTATAGAATATTCTTGCTTGGAAAAAACACTCCTTTCATTAACAGTTTTGTGCTAAAGATTATGTATTTTCTTTAAAATTCTTCGTCTTGTTCTTTCAAGCTCTTAATCTATTTCCATTTCTTTTATTAAAAAGAAAAATAATGCAAAGCTTTCTCTGTTTCTCTATGCATCTATTTACTTAGAATCTATGAATTGGAGTAATTCTCTCTCATCCTTGTTGAAAAGGTAAAAATTAAAATTGTCTGAATTGAAATTTTTGGGCAATTATTTTCCATTTCATTTGGCAGGTAGAGATAAAAGATCAGTATGATAAAATTGCTGTTAGGGAAACCCATATTCTTTTTTTTTTTTTTTTTTTTTGAGGCGGAGTCTCGCTCTGTCGCCCAGGCTGGAGTGCAGTGGCCGGATCTCAGCTCACTGCAAGCTCCGCCTCTCGGGTTCACGCCATTCTCCTTCCTCAGCCTCCCGAGTAGCTGGGACTACAGGCGCCCGCCACCTCGCCCGGCTAGATTTTTGTATTTTTTAGTAGAGACGGGGTTTCACCGTGTTAGCCAGGATGGTCTTGATCTCCTGACCTCGTGATCCGCCCGTCTCGGCCTCCCAAAGTGCTGGGATTACAGGCTTGAGCCACCGCGCCCGGCCGGAAACCCATATTCTTAAGATATTCCTAAAATAGCTCATTCTGTATTCTTGACATATCTGTTAAAACCTGAAATAGGGATAGGTCCCATGACAGAAGATTTGATGGTGGTCATAAAAATAATTAGAAGTATCTTCAGTTATCAGTGATGACTATGACTATTTAATAAGAAAAAATCTGCTTACTGAGATTGCTATATAGTAGGAGACAGAATACTTTTCTTGTACAACAAGTAATTCAGTTAATAGTATTTTACTTCCTCTGTGCCCAAGGCTCCATAGTAGTATAGAGGACAATTATAGACATTTAATAGATAAGTGCCTGAAGCACCTACAACATAAAATTCATCTTTGTAGGTTCTCTATAATGGGGTAGGTATCAAAATATGCTACTATAAGAAACACAGTTATATTTTGGGCCAAGGTCCCCAAGAATATTAATGTTACTGATGGGCTTAAATTCCTTGGTTTTTCTTTCTGTTGTCAAATGAGTCTGACATGATTCTCTATGCTTCTGTTAAAACCAGGTTTTATAAATAATTTCACTTACTCAAGTTATTTGCAAACAATATAAATTTTACTATTCCAATAATAAAGACAACTAAATGCATTTTTAAGAGATTTGTTTAACTGTTAAAAACTGGAGAGACGAGACTGGAACAGGCTAAATTTTGGTTAGGAAAAACACTCAAGCAGTGCAGATCCTTAACCACAAGGATCATAACTAGAAACACTGAATTGGAAATTTCTTGAGAACCAATCTTTTGAAACCTTCAAAGCTTCCCACATTAGCCAAAAAAGGAAAAAAGAAAGAAAAATATTTTTCTGTTGTATTATGTGCTAAAACCATGGAGGGCAGGCATGAATGGAAATGAAAGAGTGAAAAAAAATTAATAATCCCTTTTGAAACAGTAAAATTTTGTTCAAGGTTCATTTTGGCAATCTGCATTTTCCATTTTTCCTACAATTAATATACAATAATTATTTAATCTGAAAAATAACCCCCAAATATATAAATGTTACTTTAAAAATATTTATTATGGGCCTGTTTTATCTAGATAAATTTAATGCAAGGGTGATTAGATAAGAAAAGATATATTTTGAATTTTAAATAATTGTGAATTTTCACTTTTTCTACTAAATGATATTCTGGGCCACCTTTGGTTATACTTGTAATTGTACATTTAAGTGTTACCCATTGAGTGCTCATACAATTAACGTTTTTTCACTTTCAGATAAATGTATTTTAGAATATAGTAGCTTCAAGCTGACATTAAATTAGTGTGATGTGCAGACTTTTTTTTAGCTAAAAAAAGAAATCCCATCTGGACAGAAAATGGTACAGTGAAGTGCTAGTAGCCAGGAAAATACAATTTTTAAAAATAAAATTAAGTTTGCTCTCTCTATAGGGATTCATGTATGTACAAAATTGTGCAGATTGACTCTGACAACTTTCAAAGGCTCATGAATGGATGGTTTGGAATTTAAATTCTATTCCAAAGCTGACTTGTCTCAACCTGCTCAAAATTAATATTAAAATGCATACAACCAGAAAACAGCTATCTAAGTTGTATTTTAAGCTTTATTTTGTTACACCTCATTGTAGAATGGGAATTAAATTTCCAAATTTCCTTGGTAGGATGGTATATCAATGCATCTTATAATTTCAGAGAGAGTATAAAACTATTTGGGCGTCTGCTTAATTTAGAGACAAGCTATTTGACAGAATAAACTGTTTTTAAAAATCAAAATTTGCAAAAGACAAAGGTCAGTGTGTTGTGTACTTAAAATTATGGGCTTGAATTAAACTAAAATTGATACAAGATTTAAAATAGAGAACTGTTAAACTCACAAGTTAAAGTCTTATGGTGCTGTTATAGAAGCAAAAGATGTTAGAACTGTTTAATGAATACTGATGTTGCTGATTTGCCTCAAAAAAGAAAGTACTTGCTGACATCCCTTCTTTTATCTCATGAGAAAAACTTTATGTTGGTAGTAAGATGTCAGAGGCTAACGAGCTACTCTATGCAACTTCTCATAAACATTTCTAGAGATTATCACTCAGAACACAGGGAGCAAGAGAAAAACAAGGAAAATCCGATTCTGGAACATAAATCAGTAGAGAGTTTAGCTAGTGAAACTTTCCATAACACCATTTTTAATCAACCTTTAGTCAGGAAACTTGGTGATAGAGTAGACTATATTAGTAATTTACAAAATTGTGAGATAATGTCAGCTAAGTTTTTTTTTTATTTATTCCTATATAAATTTATGTGTGTTCATTAATATTATCTGGAAATATGTTTAAGCATATATTTTAAGGTGGTCGGGAACATATTAAAGATCTTATACCTTCTACTGCTGTCTATTGTTATTTAGAAAAAAAGAAAGTATAAGCATACAAATGTTTTATATCTTCCCCTTTTGTTCTACTAAATTCCTATTTTTGTATTTTCTAGAATAATTTAACACAAATCATCTGTGAATAGTATAAGTACACAGTAGCCAATTTCACAAGCTCTACGCTTGCTTTTACTTTATTAATGTCAATGCAGAGTAGAAACTGTCTCATTTCTTAAAAAGTTAAGGTCACTAGTGTGTACTCATATAGATGTAGGCATAAAATAGTTTCAGCTGCTTCTAACAGTATCTGTGGTAGCATTTGTATCATTGATATTTGCAGAAAATAGCTTTGTTTGCTACAAAGTAGTTTAAAAAGCACCATCACTTAAAAAGATAATCTAACCTATCTATGTAATTCCCATTTTCTTGGTAGTGGGATTACAATGCTTGTGTAGTTACAAAGATTTTTCTCTTAAAATGCCAGTTAACCATTACTGTTAATGGAAACTGCATTTGTAGTTCTTAACATGATGTAGGTGACAAAGTAAATGCTTTTATAATGGAATTCAACTTCAGTGGAAATCAAGATAGATTCACTTCAAATCAAAAGCAACCATGAAGGAGGTTGGCCTAGCAATGACAGGTTTCCATAATTTTTGGCTTTATGAAGGGGACTGTGTCCTTGGGTAGAATAATTTTGACATGGTTGACCGGCCTGCTAGTGTTCTTGCAATTAGTTTACTTGGGTTGTTACATCTACAGGTTGGCTTTTTTATCAAAAAAAAAAAAAAAAAAAGGAAGAAAGAAAGAAAAAAAAGAAAAACATAAGACAGACTGAAAAATAGATCATCTTTTCCCTTTTACTACTGTTTTGCTCTAGGCTGCTTTCACGCAATACTCTGTGTTGCATGTTTTCTATCTGGCATATCTAAATGAAATTAGAATCATTATAGATTGCAAAGTCACTTCTCAAAACTTCCTGGGTGGAATGTATGAGAACAAAAGCATCCGTACTCGTCTGCATTTAACTTACTAGGAATAGGTCTAAGGACGTCGGGGATGAGAATCTCCACCAAAGCCTGGTACATCCCATGGTCACAGTTACACATCCATTTCAGGATAGACTCATGTTTGCACAGAGTTATCAGCTTTGCTTTCGGAAGTCGACTTTCTATTTCACTCAGATTGCTGGTGTGAATAAATGTAGCAAATGAATAGATGGCAAATGAGGATAAAAAAGAAAATGGACTTTAAAAATAGTTTAAGTTTACCAAATATTACTGAGGTTAGAACTATACCACCATTGCACTGGTGCCATACAGCTGGCTATATATATAGAGAGAGAGACAGATATATAAAACACTCCCCCAGAGCTGTCTATGCACATTCATATTTTCTGACGGTATGAAAGGCAGATATGATAGTAATTCCATGAGGATGAAATAACTACCACAGTCCCCCAAATCAATACAAATGGGAGTTATATACACACACTGAAACCTCAAGAGAGCAGTTCGTGGTTTATTTCTAGGATGGCCAAAACATCAATCTATTCACTTAATGTCATCAGGTAAGGTTCACAACTGGTATACATATCTCTAATTTATTAGCTGTGACATCTACTCAGCCATGAAAATGAATTGGAAAAGATGTTGATTCTGACCTCGATTCAGTAATAGTAGTGCCATCAGTTGGAGTAGAGGGAGAATAGCGCCAGAATGTTTGCCACAATTTTTCTATCAGGCTAAATTGAAGATTCACAACAACGTCCAATATTGCCTAAAAAACAAAATGGTACCAGTATTACCTTACAATATTACTTATGGGACTGTGTGAGGACAACCTAACATGACAAGATTTTATATGGTCAAGTTCTCCCTTGGGGTCATAAGTTAACATGGTGAAACCACACTAAATTTTACCAAAGGAAGTGGAAGAAAAACAAAAAACAAACCAACAAAAAAACTAGCTAGCAAGAAGATAAAGGGGGGAAAAAAACTCTTGGAAAATTAAGCAGGATAACATTCTTTTCATAATGTACTCATGCCACCCTCACTTCTACCTCTTTTTTCTTCCAGTTTTCATTCTTACTTTCCTTCCTCTCTAGTTACATTCATTCATTCATTCATTCATTCATTCATTCATTCATTCCTTTACCTACTACTTTCTTCTGCCTCTACAGTTACTGTCACCCTACCTATTCTCAGACCTGGAAGGGTATAGAACATAGATTCAATTTACAGCAGTCCTCTTAGGGCTAGGTAACCACTGGCCATCAAAGTGGGTGGAAGTGAAGGGTGTGGACTTGCTTTTGTGTGGCAGATGGAGTTAGGGCTGAACTAGCTTTGTCTAAGGAAGCTGACCACGGGTTCCAGTGTGTTCCCAGGTAAACAGAGGCTGGGGCAGAAACCATGGAGTCAGCAGGCCTTCAGTGGATACTGCCTGTCTGGGTATAGCATTCAACATTAAAGAGAATCCAATCCTATCTCTGTACATCTCCTTTACAGAACAACCTTAAGACTATCTACTTTTCAAATCTCGGGGGCCTCACCTCCTCTTTCTCCTTAATTTAATCTCCTGGAACTATTTCCCAGATGCATCAAAGACTTTTTTTTTATGGTGTTTAAATCTACCACTTTCCCTATTAACTGTCAATGATGATATTTAATTTTACCCTGCCTTTGCAATTAGTTTGTAAATAAGTCTTCAGGTAAAAGCAGGCATAAAACTAAAGAATAACTTGTTTGTGCCAATAACACATGATTGTGTGATTATTTTGGGAATTAAAAGACAAAGGTAGTCAGTATAGTATGATTGATGTCATCACCTTTGAGGCGAAGGTAAAACAGCCCCACAAATATCTATAAAATTCATGGAAGATAAAATAAATCGGGGGACAATCTAGAGAGTCTATCAGAGTAAAGTAGGCAAAAACAGCAACCATAACTTCATATTTGTCGAGTTTGGGCCACCTGTATAGAGCTGGCCCTATGCATGATACAGAGAATAACTGATATGAAATATGTTCTAAAAATATAAAATGTTGCAAGTAGTTAAATATTGAAAATGAAGATAGGGAGACAAATTAATTAACACAGTCCTCAGTAACAATAAAAATGCAAAATGCAAGTCCTGAAAATAAAGGGCATGTAGATGTCCCTCATCCCAGCAAAGATCAAAATATTCTCAAGCAGCAAATTTTTTAACTGCTTTCTCAATTGTAGCTTAGGCACATTCCAAGAGACATCTCTAAAAGTGTGAGGCAACTATTAATACCTTATACATAATACCTTACATAGTTCTATATAAGAGATTGCTGTAAGAACACTTTTCTTTTAACCTACATTAAAATTAAAAAATGTTTCAGCAACTTGTATAAAAAGTTATACTTGTTCCTTATATAACAAACTAGTGATACAAAAATATCTTTGATAAACAAATTGTGAGAATTCCCAATAATAGGCAAAGTAGGTATATTAATCTTTCTTTAAAAATATGTACTGTAGGAAATGTGAAATATAATCAGTGTATCTTAAATTCAGTATCTCTTCAAATTAAATAATCTCAAATAACTCTTTCAAAAAAGACATTCATAACAGCTTCATTTGAGGCAGTTTTACACATGAATAAAACATTTTATCATTTGTCCACCTACTTTCAAATATGTTCAGACTAAAATATATAGGCAAATATAAATTAAAATAATCCATATTCTACTGGCTTAGGGCAAATGACTATGGGACTACATATGAGATTCAGGCAGCTGTATTTCAAAAGTTTTTTCATATTTATTCAAAATGAATATTTATTAACAGGAAAAAATAATTAGAATTTTTCTTTTTTATATATGCAGCTCAGCCCCGTGAGAGAGATGGCATGAACACTGGTAATTCTGAAATAAATGGGGATCATTCTGTGGACTGCCATTTTCCACACAGATTATAATACATGCCTCTATTTCTTCATATAAAGTATATTTATTTTTGAAAATGGTATGTTAATAAAAATCTTATAATCCAAAGGCTCTTTCAACCTTATTCAGGCGAGTTTGTCACTTAGAATAATCTTGCTGTATGTTTTGTAGCAATATAAATAATTATGCTCCAACTTACATTTTGAATAAATAGGAGAAATTTTTAAAAAAACCATCATAGGTTGGGCGTGGTGGCTCATGCCTGTAATCCCAGCAATTTTGGGAGGCTGAGGCGGGTGGATCACTTGAGGTCAGGAGTTCAAAACCAGCCTGGCCAACACAGTGAAACTCCATCTTTACTAAAAATACACAAAGTTAGTGGGGCATGGTGGTGCATGCCTGTAATCCCAGCTACTGGGGAGGCTGAGGCAGGAGAATCACTTGAACCCAGAAGGTGGTGGTTACAGCAAGCCGAGATTGCACTACTGCACTCCAGCCTGGGTGACAGAATGGGACTCTGTCTCAAAAAAAAAAAAAAAAAAAAAAAAAAAAAATTCCATATAGGTTGATTTGCTTAAAGCAAGGTTCACTTGAACATGCAGGAATGAGAAATTGTTTAGAGAATCTTTATACAAATCTTTATTGAATAAGATGATAGATGTAGAAAGAAATAATTTTTTTCTATATACATAAGGAAAATCCAGAACTTCTCTAATATGGGTAAAAGCATAGTAGTCAAAGGAAAATGAATATTAAGTGCTTTCATCATTCCAAGAAATGTTGGGAACTGGTAGGGCACGTTGAAGAACACTTCTGGAACATGCTATGTTAATAAGGAGAGAACCTGCCCTCAGTTGTTAATAATCTAGTACCCTTGACAAGCACTCAGATTTGCTCTAGCAATTCTTATTTCTGAAGTGGGGGAAAATATCTGTTAATGCTATGAGCTAAGACCTCTTACTGCATACTGCATTATCAGCAGCCAGGAGGACTGCCCAGGAAATCCAAAGGATTATCTTTTACTCCTAAGCAGATCACAAATATCCCTAGAATAAAGCTACTTAAATTCTAAATAGACTCTTCTTTCAAAAGGAGAAGCACTCGAGAAAACTCTTATTATAATCCATTATCCCCTTTTTGCCAGGTGAGCTGTGGCACATTAATATGCTGGCATGGAGAGAGTTCACCTCCTAGACAATGAAGCAAATTCTGATGTGTGATACTCAAAATGAGAGTAGGAGTAGGGCTAGAAAACACCAAAAGGAACCCTAATTAACCACAAAAGTGAAACAAACAAAACTGGAGCCTCAATGATCCCTGGAAAGAACACGTAAGGTGCTTTATTAAACATTTCCAGAAATTATTTTAATAGAAATATACGCATGATATAAAATTCAAAAGATAAAACTGGTCTGTTGAAAAGTTGAGTCTCTCCCCTCTAACTCCCAGTCACCCAGTTTCCTTCACAAAGGCAACCACTGTTAACATTTTCTTGTTTCTCCTCCTTTTGGAAGGAAAAGGAAGATACATACATATATACACATACATATACACCCATGTTATTTTTCACTGAAGTGAAAATATGTATACATAATTTTTTGCATTTGCTTTTTCCTTTAATATTAAATCTCGAAGTGATCCATTTTGGTATGTTTATAGAGTTTCCTATTCTTTTTGATGGCTGTATAGTATTCTACTCTAAAGACTGTATTAATACCATATTTTATTTATGCAGCTCCCTATTAGATAAAGAAATAATAATCAACCTTTAATTATAACCAATCTTTTGCATTTAAAAATAACGCAACAAATGTCCTTGTACGCTTCTCTTGTCACCCATATGTTAGTATTTTTGTAGGACAAATATGTAGACGTGGGATTGCTACATCAAAGGATTCTTATCAGGATAGGCTTAAGAAATAGAGAATAAAATTTATTCTCAATTTTCTGCATTTCTCATCTCTCCACTCTGAGACCAGAAAGAAGAAAAATGAATTTGTTAGTGCTAAAATATATGCTCAAAAGAATTAGTGCTAAGTTCGTCTGTCCTTTAGGAATAAGCTTGATTATTTTATTTTAGCAAGTTGTCTGGCAAAACCTAGCATGTGTTCATACTACATTTGAAAAGACTTACCTCACAGTGCTCTCTATAAAGACTCTGCAGTGACTTGATATCCTCAAAGGTAGTACCATCTGGCAGAGAAGAGATTTCAACTTCTCCAAACTCTGGAAGTGCTCGAGATGCATCTGTTACCATGACAACAGAACAGAAAAAAGCTATTGTGTATGGTGCCAATTACAGATTAATGAGGGAAAATTTAAGAAGACCAAAAAGAAAAACAAATTTTAAAGGTCAGGGGTCCAGAGAGCAAGGACTTTTTATATTAATATTTTACAAGTAAAACTAAGCACCATCATCAGCACAAAATATAAAACTGAAGGGAACACTTAAGAATTCTCTAGAAACAAAATCTGCACTACAATTGTACTGCAAATAGTATACTGCATATCACAGTTTCTCTCAACACAAGGCCCCTATTAAAAGAAAAATATCTCGAGTTTGCTAGTACCTATTTTAGATATTTTTATTATGTTACTTAACTACATAAAAAAACTAGCTTTAAAATCATTATGTTCTTAACTGTTAAAGAGTTATAAACCTAAAGAGCTACAAAGCGGATACAAAGAAAACTACAAAAATAACATACAACTTAACAACATTAATTTGATGTGATGGATGATGCTCTTGTCCTGTAACTAAGTTATCTCTTGCAACAAGGATCAGTATTGACTGCTGCAGCAGAGGATCTTTTGGTTCTGACAGGTCTATACCAACATGTGCTTTGTGGTGGCTGCTTCTCCCATTACTCTTCTATGCACAAATGACTGTGAAACTTTCCTCCACACAGAATACAGGGACATGATCTAGGCTTCCCTTGTGAGGGAGGCATAATTTACATAGTAAGTCTCTCTCTCTGTTCTTTTCTTATTAGCTCTGGACAATTAATGTAAGACATTTTGGTGCCTATCTTATCATAAATCCAGGTACAAATATGGAAACTAAAATTGCAGAACGGTATTTAGTTCTAGTTTTCTAAGTAATCCAGAATATTCTTAGTTTTTAAGATGATAATTGAAGTGAAATCACAAAATAAAATTCTTGTTGAATGACCAAGGGTCCCCAAGAATATAACCCGAGGACTTCAGTCTGAGAAATGCTGCCATGATGTTTTCAACTTCAGTAATGATTCCAATCTGAGAGTCTATTTTAGTTGTCTTTGTCAGAAAGTGCACATAGACACATATACACACACACAGACACATACACACAGTCACTCTCTGATAGCTTCTACTTATCTTGACTCGTTATATGGAAAATATGCATGTTCATCTCTAGAAGAGCTGTCAATTAAATTAAAGTGCCACTTTTTTGCCCCTTTGGCTGTGGCAAAAATATGAAAAATATGCAAGTTTTTCTTCCTAACTCTTTCAATAACAAGAAATATGTATTCCATCTTTAAATTACAAAAAATTACAAAAAGAAAGTACTGTGATTAATTTAAATGAATAAATTACTTTTAAAAAGTTTATAAAAATTTTTTTTCTAATCTGAGCCTGCGCATATGTAACTTTATACACAGGAAATGAGAATTCTTTTTGGCACTTGAAGTTACTACTGAAAGTAAACAACATAATTTTGATCACAAAAGCCAATTAATACAAATTCTGGAAAACAATTTCATAGCAATGAGTCTTTAATTCATATGCATAAAAGTCCTATACAGCTTGAGATTTTTAAAAATAAGCTCTAATAAACACGAAAGGCAGACATGAACTAGGACTGTTATACATATGATGTGCATAATTTTGGCACCAAAAAAATCTTTCTATGTCATTGACATCTATAATAGACATTGCACTTGGAGAAAACACTACCATTGTTCTCTTTTCAAAATCCTAGTAGCAACTAATATGCATTACACCTTAACATACCTAAAAACTGTTGATGATGTTGGCTTTGGGCAATTACAGTTTGCTCAACAGATGTGCCTGTCTGTTGACCACTTCCTGTGAAACCATCTGCAACCCCATCCACTTTCTGCATAGGCTTGTACCTAAAAATATTAGATGGAAAAAAACAAATAAACCAAATTATTCCTTGCTTTTTTGTACTACCCGAAACTTCCAAAGCATTCAGTTTCATACTATCTTCTTTAATGTCTCATGATAGCTGTAGGATTTTTTTTTCCTTGATAGTCTCATAAAGTTAGAATGCAATATTTTTTTTTCAATTGTGAAAAGAAAAAAGGGGAAAAGGGGTGCATGGAGGGTACCCATTTTTGGAAATCCAGAAATTTACCTAAGAATGAAAGAATTATAAGGTATTTCTTTGGACAGCAGGAGCAAAGATGTCCATGATTAAGTTTTAATACACAGCTTGAAAGTAACTTTTAATGGCCAATGGATATATTGGAACTTTAATCTGAACAATGATCTAGGAGCTCAGGCCTGAGAAATGTTGATGAATGGCTTTCAATTAGATAATATCTCTAAAACATGATCAACCTACAAATCCTATCATATTGTTTTTCATATTTCCTAGAACCTTTCGTGCATCTCAACACATTTATCTCCATGACACTTATCAACATCCTCAAATACAAAGGCCATAAGCATCATTTTGTAGCAAAATATATGCAAGAATCCATCTACAAACAGAGTTTACCAAATTAAAATGAAGAATCAAAGTCAGCTAAAGTTATGTATCTTTAGATCCTAGTCATACGAACTTATGTACTTTCCATACAGCTAAGAGAGAAAAAATGTGCTTCAGTGGCATGGGGAAGAAGGAAGATGTCTTGGAAAAGAAGTATCATACACCAAAAAAAAAAAAAAAAAAAAAAAAACCCGGTCAAGTCTCCTAGGATAAGCAAAACAAAATAAGTAAGCAGCAACTGTAATTTCTTCTTTTTCTCTGATTCCACTTATTTTTCTTCATTTCAGAAATTTGGAAATAACAGAAAAGCATAAGAAAAAATTAAAATCTAAAATAAACTTACTATCTAGAGATAACATTCACATTATGCTGTCTGGCCTCTCATTCTTTTTTTCCCCTATTTCTAATTATATTTACAAACAAAATAAACTAATATTCTCACCATCCAGACACTTGACCCCATACTGATATTATAATTCAACTGCATCATTAATATGAAGTTACTATGAATAACAATGCCCCTAATATATGAACAGGACATACTCAAAGACGCCTGCATGCTGACACCAGATATGAAGTGACTGAACCTGGCAGAACATCATACAAACTAATGCTCAGCTTGCCTTAGGAAATGAATCAATCTTGAATGTTATCAATTACAACTCAGATAAATGAAACTTTCAAAAAATTGCCAAATCTCTCATAATGACATTTACATGTAGTTCTTATGTGACAATATCTTACAAACAACTATGAAAAACAAAAAATAAAGTCAGAGGGGGAAGAGACTGGAAATCAGTACGGCACTCTTCATCCTTATGAATATAATTTTAGTGATGACTCCTCATTACCAAAAAATTGATTGCTGTTTTCTAATGAGAGAAAATAACTCATGCCTAATCTTTTATTTAATAGAAAAACCTTCTGGGAGGTGCTTTACAACTGGGGCCATATCCAAAGATAACAGAAGAGTTAGTGTTGTGATGTGCTATATGTCTTGTTTATAAAAAATTTAATGTTTTTCTGATTTTTTTTCCTCCTTAAAGAATCATCTTTGAGAAGCAAAGAAACTTTATGAAGCAAGCACTTTGTGTACATGTATGGTAGAGCAATTGCTAACCATTCTGTTGTAGCAGATTTGAATGATTTTAACCTTATTTTGTTCAGGAAAGTTTCTTGTCCTTATTGATTCATTCCAAGTTTCAGTTGATTTTAGCTTCCCCTTTTCAGCTATGGAATTGTATCTCATTAATAAAATAGCCTAAAATTGTTTAACCATGTTTCTTCATTTAAGTTAATGGAATTTGGGATTCATGGAGCTTAAATAAAAGTGGTTAAAGGAATTTGAATTATTAATATTTACCCTGGAGAAGGAAAAAATGAAAATAATTCCAATAGACTTCAATTACATTAAGTTTTAATACAGGATTGTAAAGTTATTACAAGACTTTGCCCAGTTATGCTTTGCCCCACATTTCTTTGTCCTACACAGCATTTAACATACTACAGATGCTTAACAGGCACAAATATCAAGGGCAAATGGAATTTAACTATAAAAGAAAATGACTTATATTCCACTTAGACTAAGTTTTCAAAAGACAGATGTTACATCACAATCTAACTGCACACAATGCTTAGGAAGACTATAGCCTACAAGCAAGATTGTCTGCTTCCTTAGGAAGATGGAGACAGCTGTTAGTATTGCAAATGGAAGTTCCTAATGAAAGGAGAGATTATAGTTTTAATAAGGAATCAAAATCATAATGCATCATAATTAACATATGATTATACTTAATGATACTGAGTGGGAAACACTAATTAGAGATAAACTATATTATGTGGGAGATGAAAAATGCATCAAGATCAACTTTCAGGGGAAAAAAGGAGGTAAGTTGGTAAATTCTGGAGAAACTACGCAGGTCAGTACTTAGGAAAAGATTTTATAATACACAGTAGAAATAAAGAAAAACGAAGAAAATATATTAAAACTTGGAAATGAGTGTTTTCATTCTAACCACAAGAGTAAGGGTAGCAAGGTGAACAGTGGATTGAAAGATGGACAAAGATTGAGCAAAGACACAATATGTGCATCCATTCTTGGCTGCTTGGCTACAGGACCTCTGCAAGCCAGAAGCGTATGTTATGCCTCCTGGGAAAAGGTCGAGGGATAAAGTTTAGGATGGGTTTGTGCCATAAAGAATGACATCAAGAAGGTAATATGGAATACAGCTCATGTACAAGAGGGCTAATGTGGGCCTGTAAGTATGAGAGAGCTTCCAGGTAGTGCTAACTTTTGCTTTTCCTGCTTTAAGTAATGAATCATGTAGTGGTATTTCTGGTAATGGATTAGAACTTAGAAAAAATCCCTAGAAATCAGAAATAATGGACTGAGAAAGCCTAGATCCTCATTTTCATGGTACCCTAACTAAGGAAAATATCCTATCCCTACCCTCACCTCAGAATTTTGTGTCTTCCCAAAGAAGGAGGGAGTTTAACAGGAAGTCAAGAACAATTACATTAAAAATAGGCTAAACAAATACCAGTAGCAAGTGATTCTTCTCAGAAACAGTGGTTGTAGATTATATATCACTGGTTTTGAAATCTAAGTGCATATCAGTATCTAGGTAGTTTCTCAAAAAATTCAGGTGCCTAGGCTCACCCTAGACCCACCCCCAAAATATTTGAGAGTGGAGCTTAGGAACTGGTTATTCTAACAAGTCTCTGAGGTATTTCTTATGTAGGTTGTACAGCCCTAGTCCATGGGAGGCTGTTGGTCCCAAATAGATTCCTTCAGCCCAATGTTGTAGAAATACATCAAATAATATTTTTTTAAAAAACCACATCATTTTAAATAAAATAAGTCATCAATTTTTAATTTTTCTCAAAAAACTGTATTTGGAATGTACAATAAATATATTTGAATGAATAAATGTTTAAGGTAACATGCTTGATTTTATCATATCATCAACTGATTTTGTACATATATCAAATCAATTTAACAAATATTTATTGAGCACATATTGTATTATGGGTAGGCCACTATAGGCACATGGTTTTTAAAATGCTGGGTATAAAAATAATTTTTCCAAGATGTCTTTTACATTCTATTGGCTCACATAATAATTCTACATTATGTTAACCTTGGTTGAATTTCAACTGACATTTTAGCATTGAAACATGACGTGTAGATTTTCTGACTCTCTATACTCTTCATAAAATAATCACCGTAAACTTGATCAAATCTACCATATGTGGAGAATAAATTAAAAAAAACAGGTGAGCTTTCTGTTGGGGAAAGAAAAAAAGCCAAACAAAAAATCCTTTCTGTTGAATCCTTTAAAAATACTGAATTTGTAAATATTTAAGAGTATTTTCCTCCCTTTACTTCCATTTACTTTACAAATTAATTATTTTTAGAATCGGTTTTCCCAGAGTAAACTCTTAGTACTCTTGCATTGTGTGTGCTCTGAGAAAGACCTGTGCTTTATCAAATAATGAAACAGCTCCTGGTTTCAAAATTAGTAAGAGGCAAATGATAATTTTAACAGCTTGGAACTCTATGGGCAATCAGTGCTAAAGTTGTTAATGATTAAGAAATAAAAGAAACTCTAATGCTTTAATAGCTGACTGTATGCATAAAACCTGTCATTAACACAGAAAAATTAGAAAATAATTAGGAATCTTCCTCCATGGGGTTAGTTATAGCTGCCATTTAGGACTTGGAGAGTTGTAACTCTATTGTAAAAGTAACATTCTGTCAATCCCACACACATGGATACTAAAACAGTCCAATGGAAGGCAAGAATGGTACATATTTACCATTACATTCAACTAACAACACCAGGTGGAAGGATTTTCAACAGATTAAATGAAACATTTGGAAAATCCTTTCAAAATGGCTGAAAAACCCACATGCAAAACACGAAATATAAACTGTACAGGCAAAAGGAATCATCATTATGTTTTGTAATTCCAGAAATTACACAATCATTTTATTTGCATGAATAAATTGAAATACTGAGCTCAGAACAAGGTCAGGAGGCTAGAATTTTCTACTGGAATACTGTAATCTTCTTTGGAAAAAAACTGTCCCAGAAAGTCTTTAGATGACTTCATGTCTGAAATAAACCAAGTGATATAAACACTAATGGATCAGAAGAAAATAGTAAATATGAAGAGTTCCATTCTTTTAGAATAGTAACTAACTTTGATGTCACAATGAATATATTCATAATACATCCAAATGACTTTTAACATCAACCCTGCTGGTTAATATAGGTATTCCATCTCTTCAATTCTTATTGGTGGCTCTCTATTTGTCTCTTCATTAGCTTTACATCTATAATTGGGCAAGAAGAGGGAGAAACAATTAAATTGAAATGGGCTATATGTTAATTG